ATTCTTTAAGCCTGAAAACAGTTCATTTTGATTAGAACACTTGCATCTTGGGAAAACCTAAAAAAATTCAAACTCTGGAACAGTTCTAATAGGTTTGAAACACAAATTATTTTTCAGTCTTGCGGGTCATCATGAGTTCGTAAATATAAAACTTTAGCCGAACTTTATACCGGCGCAGCACAATTTTAGTGACGGAGTTATTGTCCGTCCACAACAACAACAACTCGCACATAAGGCGTGGTTTCACAGTACTGCTTGCACTAATGCCATGTTTTGACACGATGTTAATCCTGAACACCGTAGGGGACGAGTACACGCCCCGTCTCCGTGAAAGCAATGGGGTGTGCGCTCGCTTGTACGCACCCTCGGTTGAGAGAAGTAGCGTGACCCGCTGAGGTCACCGTCTCCAGGTTGTTGGTCTTGACCGGGTCGGTCAGAGAACCATTAATAACCTCCGAGATAAGGGGAGGGAAGCCTGACAATAGATTCATTGTCTCCTCGAACTCGGGATGTAGAACACCATCAATGTGACCTCCAGGTGAGGTCATGGCCTCCGGGTTGCTGGACTTGGTCGGGGAGAAATCAAACACTGCTGTGATCATGGGAGGACAGCCCGTGTTAGGCTCACCTCCAAGACAATGGGTAACGATTTCGTCCGTTACTGATGCTAGCAGAAGATTTGTTGACACGTCTAACTGAAGATGTGGGTCACCATCCACATGACCTCCAGTTAAGGTCATGACGCCATCAAGACGACAAGTAGTAAGGTCTTGATCAGGTGCAGTTACTGGTTCAGGTTCAGACGAGGACAGCCTGTTCTCATGGGTATTCACTCTCTCGGTGGTTACCGTGATTTCAGCGGTAGTTATATCCACTGGGTCAGATATTGACAGCCCCTTTTCATGACTGGCCAATATCAGAGTGGTCGCCGGGATATCATCGGTGGTTGTATCCACTGGGTCAGATATTGACAGCCCCTTTTCATGACTGGCCAATATCAGAGTGGTCGCCGGGATATCATCGGTGGTTGTATCCACTGGGTCAGATATTGACAGCCCCTTTTCATGACTGGCCAATATCAGAGTGGTCGCCGGGATATCATCGGTGGTTGTATCCACTGGGTCAGATATTGACTGCCCCTTTTCATGACTGGTCAACATCAGAGTGGTAGCCGTGATTTTATCTAAACCAATAACTTGCTGAATGCCTTCAGTACTTGTCGGCAGTGGCACACAACTCTCAACTCGTAAGCTATCAGCACGTTTTGACGTTTGTGCTGGTTCTGCTAGGTTAGAGTCGACTTCAGGGACTGAGCCAAAGCTAGTGGCAGCCTTAGTCTGAGACTGACAAAACTCACTACCTACTCTATCAGACAACAAACTATCTTCATCTCTATACCGATCCTCGGAAACTACTACACTAGCCTGAGAGAAAACAGAGACAGATTCTGGAAAGTCAAACAACCCACTAAGCTGCGCCTCCTCCCATAGCCTAAGTAAATCCCGTTCCCTCCTGATCTCTAATAGTTTAACTTCATGTCCGAACAGTTTCTCTAAACTTTTAATGTCAATTTCCTTCCAAGATTCTGACATGAATATATCCCTCCTGATCTCTAACAACTTATCCTCTTTTTCTCTCGCGATCTCTAACAACTTAACTTGATACTTTCTCTCAATTTCTTCAACCCTAACACGTCCGATCTCATAATATTCTATAGTCTAGACACTCCTCCTCTAATCTACCTGTATTCACTAACTCAACACAAATATGATCTCGTAGAACTCTATCTCTATCCGACACATCAACCTCTAGTCCTAGCTCCTCAACTAGACGCAACAACTCTACGCGACAAAACCTGTCTAAAACTTCTAGAGTTGGACACTCAATAAAACTCATTACGTCCATGATTCACACTTACGGAACTTATCCAGCTAAATGGTGGCGGTTAACTACTAAAAATGTGACTCACAACAAACAACTTTAACTTAAACATTAAAAGTAGGGCTATCACCTTTGACACTTTAAACAGGTAGACACCAGCTATACTGGGCCAACCAAACTAAGATATCCAGCTACACTGGATCACAAACGATTCACTCACGTATACTGGGAATTGACCCTCCAGCTATACTGAGCAAACCAAATAAAAATTACGAATTTATTCACGTACCTGGGAATGACCCTCCAGCTGTACTGAATAAACCCGAACACTCCAGTTCCACTGGACCACACAAAACTATTCGAGTATACTGGGCATTAATCCCTCCAGCTATACTGAATCAAAATAAAGATTCCAGCTCTACTGGACCAACATAAAAATCAAGAAAAATAAACTCAGTGTCAATACAAAGGTGATAAGCTCGCTACTTACTCAATGTTTGGAAAACTCTCCTGATTCCGTGAGCAACTTTATTGTCACTACTTCTAAAACTTAAAACTAAAACACAAGCTCGTGAGCCCCCAACTGAAAATGGCATCAAAAGAAACTATTCAACTCGTTGTCTGTCCTATCCCGGACTCTAGCCACCAATTGTTACGTACCCCCTTCTCTAATCCTTTCGAACTAGTCAGGGGATCGTAAACAAGAAGAAGAAAAATAAAAATAAATAAAAGCCAACTTCAGTAATCTCTATTTATTCACCACAAATCACAACACTTAAAGTTAAACCCCGCCACCGAAGTACAACAATCAGAAATATACACAAGTAACTACAACAACTAAAGTTCTTAGTACGACTACCCTACTTGTCCCTAACTGTCAAACCTAGCCTAAGTCTAGTACATGTCGTGGCTTTCCACTAGCTCACAGAGACGACCCATGTCTGTCTTCTCTAAACCTAGCTATCCGAGACGTCCGTCCGTCTCCGTGTGTCCCAAGTGTCTGTCGAGAGTGTGTTCCCAGTCTCCTGTCTACCCTCCTAAAGTACTCGTCCCCCGTGCGTCACCGTGGGAACGATTTTAATTAAGGCCTGACCCTAGGTCATATCCGTCCATGACGGTCCCCTCGGCCCCCTCCGACCTGGAAGGTTTTCCCAGCCGTAAAACACGGACCGTCACTAGCCTAGATCAAGCATCAACGGTCAGCCGTGGTGTCACCGTGTAATTTATGGGCTGTTGGCCACGTTAATAGCCGAGTCCCCCAAGACACCAGGTATGCACCGCCCACAGCGTGGTACCCAATCCGGTGTGGCCGTCAAGACCCCCAGACTCTCACGGCCTATGCTGGCCAGTGCATTAACATGCCTAAGCATTTCATTTTAATTACCTGGCCCTCCTCCATGGGACCAAACCCAGGTAAAGATCACTTGGGTTCGTAACAATATATATAGGTGTATGTATGTATGTATATATATATATATATATATATATATATATATATATATATATATATATATATAGGTGTATGTATGTATATATAAACATATGTTTGTGAGTGTGTATTATTTTTTGAATTGCTAATTTTATGTTGTGTTTAGTTTTGTTCTGTTCCCAAGTTGGTACATTTAAAAAAGATTTACCGTGGCGGAGCACGGGATGCAGCTAGTGTATATATATGTATATATATATATATGTATATATATGTATATATATGTGTATATATATGTATATGTATATATATGTTTATGTATATATATGTGTATATATATGTATATGTATATATATATATATAGGTGTATGTATGTATGTATATATATATATATATATATATATATATATATATATATATATATATATATATAAATATATAGGTGTATATATATATAGGTGTATGTATGTATATATAAACATATGTTTGTGAGTGTGTGTTTTATTTTTTTGAATTGCTAATTTTTTTTTCTAAAATTAAGAAAACCACTAAAAAAGAAGCCCAAAGAAAACACAGTGATAGCAAGAAAGAAACTTCAAAGACTGCTTCAAAAAAAACTATTGAGCAAATGAGACAAGAAAGATTATTACGTGAAACACATGAAAAATTAAGAGCTCAGGCTATTTTATCACCAAAAATCGAGAAACAGGATGCAAAATGTAGTGAAAATAACAGCGAAGTTAAAAGATCTAATAAGAGAAAATATAATTCACAGTATAACCCAGACCTATTTTAAACTATATTTTATTTTTGTCTCAATTTGTATGGCTGTTATTAAACTTCAAGGTTTAAATAAAAATTTATTTTGTGCAATTTATTAATCCATTTAAGTAAACATCGTATGGGTCATCCATTCACACTTTTTAAAAGTATTTCTAGCTCCCCCCCTCTCAAAATAACAATACTTGTTTTGTTAATGGTTCTTCTTTTAAAAAATTATCTATTCTTTATCAACATTGAGTAAAGCGATCAATTTTTATTGTATTTTACAAATTAAATCTTCTATCAATGCAAACTAATGGTTTTACTCTGTTTTTAATATAATTTTAAATTAGATATTAAATTAGTGTTTAATTAATATAAAGATTAGTATATTCAATAAGAAAAGGGGAGATAACAGAATTAATCTCTCAAGTGATTACCTAATCTGCCTGTTTACAATGGTGAAAAAGGGGGCAGATAACGGTCTTTTAGAGATATCAAATATTTTTAGTCAAAGTTGTGTTGAATTGATTAAGAACAAATTACCAAAAATAAGAAAATAAACAAATATAAAAAAAACTATAATAATAAGCATTTAAATTCACTATAATTTTTAATAAACAGGGAGTGATCTCCCCTAAACTTTCTAGAATATTCTTATATGAAACAACAGGGATGGCAACTCTGTATATAGACATGATTTTTAATCCATTTTAAAACTTACACTTTTTACAATAGAATAAAACTCTTAGAAAAAAGAATTGCACACCAAGTGAACGCCAAATAAAATATGCATAGTGCGGAATATTATTAGTGCTTTATAAATTCACATGCGTTTTTTGAGAAATCAGAAATAGCGAAAATTACTACTTTCGGTCAAGGGAAATTACTCAAAATTTAACAAAAAGCAGAGAATTAGATCTTTTACTCACATGTGAAATTTCATTTATCTGAAATAGTAGGCCTACTCAAGTTATAGGCTTTTGAAAAATTCAAAGTAGAAAAAGGTCGACTTCCGGAAATCGCTCAAAAGTTGATACGGATCTATGATTTCGATATAATACTTAAGTTATATATGAAATTTCATCAACCTAGCTGTAACAGTACTCAAATATGAAATTTCATCAACTCAAGTTATCGCGTTCACAGACATACAAACAGGATTGCAAAACTATGTTTTTCCAACACAGGGAGCTGTAAAACGTCGAGATTTGCAAAAATCTTTTTTTTTTTGCATGATTACAACACTTTATCTATACTTCATATATACGAGAAAGTAAAATAGGGATTGGTCTCTGGTAAATCTCTTACTCATTTTGCCTTTAATAAGAAAACACATTTAATTTTTACAAAATTTTCAGCGCATTTAAAAACATTATGTTTTATTTAGTCATGAAATTTTTAGCTGACAGGCTTGAAAAGTGGTTCAAAATTGTAGTTGCCAGAAAGCTTATTTTTCAACCAAAGTTGAATATTTTATAAATATTTGTGAAACAGGTATAAAATGAATTTGGTTTTATTATGGCTAGAAATATTCAAACAAGTAATTATTAGTAGTATAACTTCTGAGCATAATAGTCTTAAAATAGTGAGATCATTACATTTACAATAAAAAGATATGCAAATGCATTTTTAAACATCTTGAATAAAACTGAAAAAGCCCACTGTTTGCCATTGTGTTTACCTTTGGTCACCCTGTAAGCTATGTTTATTTTATCATAGAATATCATTTGAGCTTTTAGATTAGCTTATGACTATGGCACTGTACAATTCTTATTATGCGTGCAAATGAATGTTAACTATTAACAAAATGAAAACAATAAGATCTAGATTTAACAAAATGTTTGTCTACATTTTAGTTTTGTTGACCAAATAAATAATTGTATTCAGTTTTTATAGAAAATAACTGTACATTGTAAAATAACTTATATTGAATTAGTTAAATATTATTAACGAGCCGACCCGCGGCGTATCATACGAGTTGTTTTATTTTCTACTTCTCAGTAATTCATAATTTGTGAATTCGACAGTACCAATGCTGCCACTGAAAATATTTGCTTTAAAACACTAACCCACCCCCCTTTCCCCTAACCCCAACCCTACACCCCCCCCTGTGAAAGCAACCTCCTCTTAGTTACCTCCTGTAAGTTTAACATCGTTTCAAACTAAATTATCTGCCCCTAATAGCCGTCACTAAACCCTGCTCTACGATTTGTAAATATTTAGCGTGACCACAACTTACCAGACCATGTTGGGGTGGGGTGGGGGTGATAGTGATAGAGAGAAAGAGAGGGGACTGTAAGGAGGCGCTTGCAGCTTGTTTTCTAACGTCTCCCAGAAGAGAATTATATATATAGATAATGCAAAGGAATAAACTAATTTCACTATTATTCTTTAGTGTTTATTTCCTCACACATCATGGACAAAAGTGCTTTAAAACAACAGGTACAACTAAAAATCAGCTGAATACAAATAAAAATTGTGTTTTTATGGAGTTCATTGATTTCTTCAATGTCATAAGTTTTGAAAACGTTTGTCTGTTTTATTTGAATGTGTGAAGCATGCTTACAGCATAATGTAATAGAAAATTTATGACCAGACATATTTATCATACACAACAAAAGTTTTAATAGAATGTTACAGTGATGATAATTACATTTTTTCTATGTTGCGCCAGAATTAATTATAAAGAGGAAGGAAACATTTTGCGTAACTATTATTTTTTAAGCTTTGTTAACTTGGCTCCAAAAACAATCAAAATCCCTTAAGAACTCTAAAATTGATGAAGTGTATCATTTATCATCTAGGCAGTTGGTGCCTAGTGTCGTCTGAGAAAGTTACTTAAGATAAATAGTTTTTAAAATCTAAATATTTTGATAACCTATATATTCTATTTTTAATGTAATAGCTAGCTAAAATGCATTTTATAACTGGCCAGTTCAAAATAAGTTTGTAAGGCAATTACTAATTTGTTTTAAAAAACAGAAATTAGGACCTAGAAATAGGACCTATTGCCAAAAATGAACATCTAATTTATTAATAGAAGCTACATTTTACATCACACAATTTTCAAAAACAGCTCATTTTTCAGCTAAAAAACAATGTCAACAAAATTTGATGTGTGTTTAAATTTTTAAATAATGTTGGTCATAAAATGGCATCTAATTAAACAAGGTAGATGTGTATAGTGCAAAACTTAATATAAAATACAAATTTCCTTATAAATTAGGATCATCAATATCAGTTTGTTTGCTTCCAAGTATATCCTCTTCCCATTTGGAAAGCTGTTCAATGAAACCTCGGTTAGGTCTCATAGACTGATTACATTTAAACACATGTTCATAAGCCTCCTGTAAAAGAAATTACATGTCATTATTTTAGTCTTAAAGGTAAAACAAAATGAACTAAAAAATTAATGAAAACATTTTTTTCACTGGGTCACACTCTTATTTTGTTTTAATCTGAATAAAAACATGTACAATTTTTTTGCTCAACATGAAGTTAAGATTTTAATTTTTTGTTACATTTATTTTTTCAAACTCTACAAATGTTATCAGTTGAGTTACTACATAATGCAACTATAAAATCATCAATTACATTTGTATTCAATACAGAGTTCTTAAAATTGTTAGCATTAATTAATACTAAGGTTAATTTTGTCATTCATCTATTATGTTCACTTTGCTGTCAATACAGAAGAAAGTGATTTTGTTCCTCATTAAAGTAATGATTTGCATACTTTTAAGCAATACTAACTTCTAGTTATAGACAGCATGATTTAGACATTGTATCCATAGTGTGTAATTATAATTATTAACTTTTTTAATTTCCTGGAATTCATTTTTTTTTAAAAATTCTTTGTTTATGAACTGATTGTTAATTGACCAGTCCATGATCTAGAGGCTGTCAGATATCACTGACTTTTACAATGTACAAAACTTCCAATAAATGCTGCATTTACTTCCTTGGCTCTGTGTCAAACTAAATAAAAATGAAAGTATGTATGTGGATGGGTGTCTTTTATGCATTACTACATCTTTCATCCGATTTGCAAGAAATTTTAGCAAGTTGTTGAGACTACTCCTAGGAAGGTATCCGGGATGTGCGATTTGGCTCCCCCATGAGCATTATGGCACCTACATTCGTTTTAAAGATTGTGATACACTATGGAAGCAATGGGCTACTATAGTTCACGTGTCTAAAAATACACAATTTGTAACACATTATCTTAAAATATTGCACCAGCCTTTCTTCTGATACAGCTGAAATTATGCAAATCTGATCCAGTTAGAGAAAAGTACTTAACGTCATAATTAGTAGCTACTGCTAAACCTTGCAGTTAAAATTTCTAGGCATTTTAAAAAATGTCTCGATTTCATACTTAGCCAATTTATATAAATGCTTAAATTACCTTATAGTGCAGAAGTGATATTTTTGACCCAAAATAAACCCCTATCGCAATATACTTAACTCCATATTAATTCTAGCACATTTAAAACTAACTTAAAGCTTACTTTCAATGTCCACCTAAAATGCTGAATCAAAATAGCAATAACTATTGTAACAGGACGGCTGATCCCAAGGTTTCCAAAAACCAAAACTGGAAATTCTTCCTCAAAATGAAAGTCTATAAAATAAAATAAAATAAATAATTTAAAAACATTATTTATAAATTAAATTAAATTAATTACAGGCCCTTTGATAAATCCCAATGACATCTGACATAAGGAATTGAGTCAATTTGAAACTTGGCTAAAGGATTTATCAATACAAGTCTGGATATGTAATATATGGGATTAACGACTGTCTTGTACAACCCAAATTTTATAACTTTGGGACTGACTTTACTACAAGGTAAGCAGTTTTGGCTCAGGTTCTACTAGAGGGTCTGAGAGAAAAAGAAAGTCATTGCATAACATGATATTAGTTACATTTTTTTTCGGCATTACTATACCATTCATCCAGTTGAAGTACCCCTCCCTATCAACTGCAAGAAGCCAACTAGAGAGGAGATTATCAAGGCAATCTCCCAGATGAAGAATGGGAAGGCAGATGGACCTGGAGACATTTCAGCAGAGGCCTTAAAAGCAGACCTGGAGCATCAGTAGAGGTGTGGTAGGAGGAAGATAAAAGCAGACCTGGAGCATCAGTAGAGGTGTGGTAGGAGGAAGATAAAAGGAGACCTGAAGCATCAGTAGAGGTGTGGTAGGAGGAAGATAAAAGCAGACCTGAAGCATCAGTAGAGGTGTGGTAGGAGGAAGATAAAAGGAGACCTGAAGCATCAGTAGAGGTGTGGTAGGAGGAAGATAAAAGGAGACCTGGAGCATCAGTAGAGGTGTGGTAGGAGGAAGATAAAAGGAGACCTGAAGCATCAGGAGAGGTGTGGTAGGAGGAAGATAAAAGGAGACCTGGAGCATCAGTAGAGGTGTGGTAGGAGGAAGATAAAAGGAGACCTGGAGCATCAGTAGAGGTGTGGTAGGAGGAAGATAAAAGGAGACCTGGAGCATCAGTAGAGGTGTGGTAGGAGGAAGATAAAAGCAGACCTGGAGCATCAGTAGAGGTGTGGTAGGAGGAAGAAATATTAACAGACTGGAAGGAATGCCATCTGATAAAGCTCCCCAAAAAAGGGAACCTCATTAACTGTAAAAATTACAGGGAGATCATACTCCTCATTTCTTCTTTCTTCTTCTTCATTCTACTGTTGGAAGGTATTCCCTCTAACACAATCAATTGTCAACTTAGGTGCAATATAGGCTTCTTGACTCTGATTTCAGCCAGCTTTTCTTTTTGGATTTGCTTCCATAGCCTTTGTCCAACCAAGAACACATTACAAGGCAGCAGTTGTTTGATTTTGGAGTTTTCTCTCCTAGAAGAGTTGCTCTCCCAAGCTGTCAAGCCTCATCTGCCAGAGGGTTCGAAATCGTGACTTTTTCGTTTCGCAACCATGAGTTTTACCGACTTGACCACGCCCACCCCTACATTCCTCTAAATACCAGGGTCAGATTGTGACATCATTATAATTGAGTAGTCAGTAGATTGGAACTCACCACTGTACAATAATTTCATTGATTATGAAAAAGCTTTCAACAGAGTGGATTGAGATACAATGAAAATAAAACGGGAGTGATTTGCCCTAAACTTTCTCGAATATTCTTATATAACTCGGAATATAGACATGATTTTTAAGTACTTTTATAGCGTTTTTGTCAGATACATAGATAGATAGATACACAGACAGCGAAACTATTATATAGAACTTAAAATATAGACATGATTTTTAATTACTTAAACTTTTAAAAATAGAATAGAATCTCATAGAAAAAAGAATTGTGCACCAAGCGACCGCCAAAACAAAATGTGCATAATAGTGCGCAATATTATTAGTACTTTATAAATTTACATGCGTCCTTTTGAGAAATCGGAAATAGCGTAAATTAGTACTTCCGGTCAACGGAAATTACTCAAAATTTGACAGAAGGTAGAGAATTAGATCTTTTACTTACATGTGAAATTTCATTTATCTATCCTAAATAGTACTCAAGTTATAGGCTTTTGAAAATTCAAAGTAGAAAAAGTACCACTTCCGGTTATCGGAAATCACTCAAAAGTTGATAAGGATCTACGATTTTGATAAAATACTTACATATGAAATTTCATCAACCTAGCTGTAACACTACTCAAGTTATCGTGTTTACACACAGACAGACAGACACACACACACACACAAACGGACACACAGACATACGGACAAGATTGCAAAATTATGTTTTTCCGTATCAGTGAGGTGTAAATTGTCGAGATTTGTAAAAATCTTGATTTTTTTTTTTTTTGCACGATTACAAGACTTTCTCTATATTTCGTATATACGAGAAAGTAAAAACATACCGCTCATAAAAATCATATTGAAAAAAAAAGAAAATCCACTCCATATCCCCTTATGTTGAATGCTTACGATTTTAAATTTATAGTTTTACCAGATGCCAACAAAGCAAAAAAAAGTTGCATTAAATTTATGGTAAATTGAATGTAAATACTTAATAATGATGACAGAACTGTCTGCATGCATTAGAGTGAGACAACACTACCTGCTAACATATGCCCCTTTTCTAATAACAATATCATTTTATTTACTGTTGTTAACAATTTCTAAATTATAAAAAGCAAATATACTATTTTCAAAAAATCTACCTTTAAAGTCACATGCAGGTTTAAAATAACTGTGCAAGTCAGCATCATTTTCATCCTCCACTTGAATATGGAGAAGATGGGGGCCTGGTTCAGGAAAGCTTTATATACAGTCAATAAATTGAAATTACAATACAGTGAATACAATTTAAGATCAATACAGACTAATGGTGTCAATGATTAAAGATGATTTATCTAATAATACTTTTTTAATACTCATTAGAAAACAGTTATTTCTTTACAGCTTTATTAAGATACATCCGCATATGCATCTCCACTAAAAAAAAATTGTGGAAAAATCTTGGTAACTATGACAACGGCGGCCACCTTGAAAAATTAACCTCTTCGTAGGTTTTCCACCATTCATAAAATAATATATTTTAAGCCCAATAAACAATGAATTCATAATCTTCTTCCATATTTTGGGTACTCAGCTAAAATTTTTCAGGTGGATATCAGGATTTTGAAAATGCATAGAGCTCACTAAGTTTCTGCTTCCACACAACAGTTAATGTGTCCTCGAATCTTGAGATCTTTTTGAATGTAAGGTGCATTCCCATGTTGCCAATTTCCCATGTAAAGTAAGCCCTGTATAATCTCAACTGGGTATGGTTTGATTTCATCCAATTCCTTTCAGGATTAAAAAAAAAAGAATTTAGTTGAATTGTATTGAATAGAAGCAACAGGAATAAAAAACAAAAAGGAAATACAAATTGATTGTTCATTGAATGGATATTTGTATCAAACATTTTACTTAAAACAAATATTTATTTTAAGTCAGCTACTTTATTGGTTTCTTCAATTCTCTGTTTGGTTGCTTAAACATAGCTGGGCAAACGTGTTGTTTTAACATTGGTTAGTATTGGTATTGATAAAAATATAATATTTTATTAACAAATCTGAACTTTTAACTGTTGTCCAAGGATAGTTTTGTTATTCTGCTTAGTACCATAGCAAATATATGTTAATTTGTCAAAATCTTAATTAGTAAATAAGACAAAATACATATAATTGTGACTTATCACACTTTAAGCAAAGAAATGTGATTTTTTAATCAGAAGGTCTAAAGATTGTCAAATTGTTTTTTTATGAATAAAAGGTATCAGAACCTTATGAGCTTTAATTTGTGGACAAGAATAGCATTTTGATTCAACATATACACAAAAATAAACTACTAAATAAAATGTCACAAACCAGTTTCAACAACTGAAGAACTTTACAAGATATTACAATAAATAATGTGTTTTTATGTTTTTTTCCAAATTTTATTCCATTATTTTAATTGGCTTACTCTCTCAAGCAAATGATCCATAACTGTTGTACAAAGTTATGACATATATATATATATAAGCAACCACAAATAAAAAGCTACACAGTGGAAATAAACCAGGAGTGATCTCCCCTAAACTTTCTCGAAAATATCAATATTATTATATAACTATTATAACACTACGGGGATGGCAACTCTGGAAATAGACATGATTTTTAATTACTAAAACTTTAAAAGAGGTTGGTTTTCATAAAAAAGCAGAAAACATCTTTGATTACAAACTATACACTATAAAATAGCTTTAAGCTACTTTTTTTGTGGTCTCATATCATCATAAAAAAAAAAAATAATAATACAGAAATTTAAACTTACCCTAGGTGTATAAATTATTTTTTGTGTTCTTAAGAAAGGATACAAGGCTGAAAATTCTTCATAACCACCTAAAAAACAAAGATTATAACAAAGTAGTTAAATTACAAGCAATTACAAAGTCAACTCAGCAATAATTATATATAAATAAGGATTGAGTTAAGAAATTAAAGTTTCTTGCCTTTGAGTATCATGACTGGATTTCGACTTCCAGCACTCCAGATCACCTGAGCACATTCAAAGGCTGGTGCTAATAAAAATGTAACAAAGATTTTTAGTAATCAAATACTGTAAGAGTAAGAAATGAAATAAACTTTGCAGTGTTCCTTTATACTACAAAATATTTAACAAATGAAATTGTGAATGATTATCAGGATTCAAAATTAATAAACCCTAAACAAGCATAAGAGCTTTCATTACAAGGAAAAATTAATTTTAAAATTATATTTTGTACATACTTAATCCCACAAGATCTGATGTATTACTGTCGTACACGACAACATGTTTTTTACACTCAAGCTCAGCATCATATGGAATCATAAATGATGATTTATCATTCTGGTAATAGAATAGTTGTACAAGTGATTTAATATTTGGAAATTTAAAAAATAAAACAGACAACTGTGTCTCATCAACTACAATTTTGATGCAAAAGCAATGTTATATTTAACTTTCAATACAAGTAATTACTCTAGTTTAATATTTTGACCATTAAATTTTCATTATTAAGAAAAAGCAAATTTTCAGTTAAATAATAGAACTTCTTGACTCTTTTTGAAGTTTATAGTGAAGATCATTTGCAGGGCTACCGTGTATCATCCTGTCTAGTTAAATAATAATATAAACTACTGAGATTTAGGTTGCAATAGATAATAAGTGCATTTACCCTTGGTGCATTTTTTGCAGTAACTACATGACTTTCATTGTACTCACTTTTTTTTCTGGCATCTGTAAATATTGTTTAAAAAATTAATTTTTGTTCCAAAAACTCAAAAATATAATGTCAACGAGACTAATTAAAATTTTATTTCAACAGGCATTTTACATGTAACATGTCAGTAAAGATCTTATCAAGACATCTTTATCTGTGAAATCTCTGTCTTATAATTCCTGATTATACTTCAATAATTTTAAATTAAGCAATCACGATATTTAAAAAAAATAAAGATGTTTGAAAAAAACGTATAAGTTAACAAGATTCAAATTGTCAAAGTGATTTTTAAAAAGAAGCTAAACAAGTTCTTTGTTGAACTTTGACATAACCTTGTCTTCATTGAACTACAAAACACTCTAAAGCTCTAGTGGAAAAAATAACTTATGGTGTTTTTTTTTGTCCTCCAAGCTTAGATAACTTTCAAGCATATTCAAATATTTATTACTACTAGTTGCAACTGCTACAATAATTATTAATGAAATTAATTTGTTTCAGCTCATACTGTGTGGCTAATCCCCTTCATTGGTTAAGAGTTTTTGCTGAGACCCTTACATGGCTGTAATGTTATGAGCGACATTTAGAATGAGAATGATTGTTTGATTTTTATTGACATAATCACTTCTCAGCTTGAAAATGGCTGATGTTAGATTTGGTTCATGCTGGGTTTATTTCATAGGACAGGTTAAAGAAAACCTTATCATTGACATTATTGACAATAACAGGTTATCATTGATCAAGCAGGCCTTTAATTATTACTATAAATAAGTATTTATACATTCAAGTGGATAAGAAAAAATAATAAATTTTATTTCTAAACATTTCTAAACATTTATAAAAGTTTTTAGGTTAATAATCATTTATTAGGATGAATTTTTAAGTAATGAGAGAGTCTATTTGAATAACCTTCAAACTCTATTGGTAGTTAGTTATTTTTAACAGAACAATCACTGTACAAAATTATTTGAAAATGAGATATTTTAGACTATTTAAAGAGGAGAATAATTCATGGAAGTGATTTGAAGGTTTGCCTATCTTTCTCAATACAATGTAGTTTTTTCATCTCTACAAGAGTGTGTGTTAGTTACCATAGAATTATAACGGCTGTAGTAGATCTATTTTTTTTTTACAAAACCACTAGACTATCAAGGTGCAAAATTTTTTTATTTTGTTGCCTTTGGTCGGATTTTGGGTCAACGTGGTTGAGTCAGTAAAGCTCAGGGTTGCTAAACCACTAAGTCTCAAGTTCAAACTCTCAGGCAGATGAGGCTCCATGGCTGGGGATAGCGCTGCCTTGTAGTTTGTTCTTGGTTGCACAAAGGCTGTGGAAGCAAATCCAAGAAGAAAAGCATGCTGAAATCGGAGTCAATGGCCTTTATGGCCCATAACCATTTGACACATATACTTAATTTTGTTGGACAAGAATCTTTTCGGATATTTAAGTTAAGCACGAAGAAGAAGAAAAAATAAGGACCCCCAAAACTGCCTGCACTTGTAGGTAACAGGGATAACTCTCAAGCAAGGGTGGCATGTTATGTAAATTATGACCATCATGGTCCTGCAGAGTAGTGATTAGACACATTAATATGCTGCTCTCCCCTAAACATTTCTCACCTCCATGATACCCAGCCTCCACCTGTTTCTGACCCACCATAAAAACTTCATATCTTTGTAGGTAACATGGATTAGTTTTTAGATCTCAGCCCAGCAGATAGTATTTTTATGTAATGTATGGCCCTCAGGGTCCAGCAAGGAGATCTTGGGGGAAATCAGCACCACTGCTCTCTCCCCTCATCATTTCTCACCAATGTTCCCTCTAAGGACCAAGAGTGTGTGTTCAAAAAATGTTGTGTGCGCGGTGCTAAAAATGACTTGGGCAAGGTTAATATGTATGTTTAGGCTTGCAATTAAGCAGAGTAATGAAGGCATGCATTTTGATAAATTAATAGTATAATGTGTAGGACTAATGAAATGTATGCAATTAAAAGAAGATACGAATCCCATCTAAATAAAATAAAATACACAACAGAAACTTTTAGAGTTTTACTTAGACAACAGGTTATATGGTCGACGTACTATGTTAGTGTAATGACTCGGTGCGGTCCGCAACCCGCGCTCGCCCTCGATACGCCTCTGCGACCATATATAATTCAGTAATGAGCTTTTTATATAATTACCTATCATGTATGGGTCCTCCTGTGACGGCCGCCCCACCCACCGTCCCCTCACCTCTGGTAATATAATAGTTATAAATCTTTTAATTTTGAACATTTCAGGTGATTATCTAATTTTAATGTTGATTTTGTGATCACTCAACGTGACGTTGTAAAACATATGCTATTTTGATTTTAAATAGGGCTTGTAGTCTCGCTTTCTCTCAATTCGAATTAGAAAACTCGTTAGCCAGGGAGAGATTTAAATTTTCAAACTAAATTAATTTTTGGCACCACTAGATCCTAAAATGAATTTTAAGGTAGAACTCTACTACACTATCTTGGATATGGGTATACAGACTTTAGAAGATTAGAAGAGAGTTTCAGACAATTTGAACAACATAATATTCTGGTTGGCTTCCTTTATGATATATCCAATATCAACCAAAAGACACCTGCAGATATACTTAGTGACTGCAAAAATTTAGAAACGTTGTTGATGCATTGTGCAGGCTGTTTAGTGGGGAGGGGGGGGGGGGGGGATGAACAAAATCCAACACATTTAAAAAAATTCTTTGCACCTTGATAGACTAGCGGTTTTGTAAAAACAAAAATAAGAAAACAAATCGACTACAGCAGTGATTGTCCTACAGTAACTAACACACACTGTTGCGTAGAAAAAAGTTGAAGTATGAAAAATAGGCAAACATTTAAACCACTTATATTATACGACATATTGCTCTTCTATAAATAGCTGAATAGTTGTGCCTATAAAGCAATCAAACTAGTTATGTACTAAGCGAATTAGATTTTTTTTTCTTCTTTAATAATTATTAAACGTAAGCATCCTGACGAATGACTAAGGCAAGGTATAAAAGGGAATTAAAAAAATAAAACAAACACAGGAAACCATTACACATATCACGTTTCCTTGAACCACCATTCTTTGACCCAATTGCCAGATAAGAAGGTTAACGATACATAATTTTTGTCTGGGATAAATGAGAAATTTTAAAACTCATTATTCAAGGCCAGAAATGAGTTGGAGCCAATCTCTGTGTGGTTTGTTGTCTCAAGATGGATATACTTTGCAATGAAATAGGTTAAATGGTTTAGTTTAGAATTAAGTGAGTCTTCTAATATATATATATATATATATATATATATATATATATATATATATATATATATATATATATATATATATATATATATATATATATATATATAATATATATATAAAGCTCAATTCTGTATGTAATAAACCGGGAGTGATCTCCCCTAAACTTTCTCGAATATTCTAATATAACACTACGGGGGATGGCAACTCGGGATATAGACTTCTAGACATGATTTTTAATCCATTTTAAATACTCAAATTTAAAAAAATAGAATATAATCTCGTAGAAAAAAAGAAATGCACACCAAGTGAACGCTAAATAAAGATGTGTATAATAGTGCGCAATATTATTAGTACTTTATAAATTTACATGTGTTTTTTGAGAAATCGGAAATAGCGTAAATAAGTACTTCCGGTCAACGGAAATAACTCAAAATTTGACAGAAGGTAGAGAATTAGATCTTTTACTTACATATCAAATTTCATTTATCTATCTGAAATAGTACTCAAGTTATAGGCTTTTGAAAAATTCAAAGTAGAAAATGTACCACTTCCGGTTATCGGAAATCGCTCAAAAGTTGATACGGATCTACGATTTTGATAAAATACTTATATAAGAAATTTCATCAACCTAGCTGTAACGGTACTCAAGTTATCGTGTTTACACACAAACACACACACACACACACACACACACACACACACACACAGACAAGATTGCAAAATTATGTTTTTCCGTATCAGTGAGATGTAAAACGTATCAGTGAGATGTAAAACGTCGAGATTTGCAAAAATCTCGATTTTTTTTTTTGCACAATTACAAGACTTTCTCTATACTTCGTATATACGAGAAAGTAAAAATACATATGATTGTCGTTGACATACTTGGATGGATTAAAGTGTTAGACTATTATTGTGTGCATTTGTCTAAATTTATGAGTTAAAAAATTACTATTGAAAGTGTTGGGAAATAATTTTCATTTTTCAAACTGATAGTAATAATTGTCGGCATGTTCATTAAACACAATTTTAAAAAAATAACAAAAATTCTAATTATATCTGAAAATTATTTATATTTAGTCCTTTAGCACTTACTTCCCTTTGATAAATTAGGAAAACACAATTACTTCCCTTTATAAAACATTGCATTAGTGGAAAAGAATTTACTTTTTATTACTTTGTTTTGGTGTTGGGGAAAAAAAATAATTACATAATTAGCGGGGATTGATCAAGTGCAAATGTTGTAGGTATTTTACGAATAAGCTTGGAGTATTATAATGGTTCATTTGGTTTGGTTTGGCACCTACGTTCGTTTAAGTGAGTGCAAAAAGACTATGAATAAGTTGGGGTACTATAGACGATTATTAAGCTTTTTTCGTTTTCGTTTGTGTTTTTTCTTTGGGTTTGTGTTTGTATTTGTGTTTGGTTTTGCGTTTGGATTTGGTTTGTTTTCGTTTGCTTTTACGTTTGTTTTTTTTTGTGTTCGTATTGGTGTTGTGGTTGTGGTTGGGTTTGTTGTTAGGTTTTTGTTTTCGTTTCCTTTTTTGTTTGTTTTTTCTTTGTGTTTGTATTGGTGTTTGTGGTTGTGGTTGGGTTTGTTGTTAGGTTTTTGTTTTCGTTTGTATTTGTAATTGTGTTAGCGTTATGTTTGCGTTTTGTTGTTTTGGTTGGTTGTGGTTTGGGTGGGCAGTGCCGGGTTTATGATGATTACTAAACACACAGGTAATGGTCTTTAACAGAAAGGTTTTCACAGAAGCCAGAGCAGGGCCTGGCCGGCTAGTATATATATATATATATATATATATATATATATATATATATATATATATATATATATATATATATATATATATATATATATATATATATATAATACACACACATATAAATTGCGGGGGGGGGGGGAGGGGTAATAATTTTTGCATATGGCGCCAGCATTGCTGATATTTGATGCAGCCCTCAAGGCTGAAAAGTTTGGAGACCCCTGAATTAAACCAATAAGGTTAATTTAATAGCCCATGTAACACATTTGTTATTTTTCTTAGTGTTGTGTAAGATGTGTTGGAATAATTATGCAATATTCTCAATATTAGAAAATACTTGGATTAGTACAAATCTTTAAAAATGTATGGGGTGCTTAAAACGAAGGCTTCAAGCGCCCTTCTAATCTTTACTATAATAATTAATATTAAGAATTAAAATTATCCTACCGATTAAAAGCAGATAATTAATGTCACTTAGACATGAGTAGTTTCTTCCTTGCTGCAGCAGGTTGTACAGCGCATTTGGCTCAATCAATTTTAAACTCGGCATTTTCCTAGGCCAACTCAAAACCTAACTAATAATGTTTAGATCTAGACTAGATTTAGATATTGAATAGCCTATTATTATTATGTCAGTAGGCCAATTGTAATTATTAAATAACCTGTTGTCTCCAGAAAAGAAGAAACCCTTTCACATAGAAATTAAACAAAACGCTTGCTTGCTAAATAAAATAGTTCAGATGAATGATGTGCGTGTAGATTCTATATTTCATTATGGTTGTTCATTTTATTCGTATAAAGATAAGGAGACAAAAAATACATAAACTAAAAATAAATATAATACAGTTAAAAACGAAATGATTTGGAATCTGGAGTTAATTTAAGCATAGGCCTAGGTGTAGAATTTTTATTTTTTATTTCTGTAGTCAAGGGCGCATTAATATATAATTCGTACTACGCATGTTTTCTCCCCTCTGTAACCTTTCCCTCACTTCCTTTAGCCCGAGAGTTTAGTTATTCTGTTCCACCGTCATTTAAGGTCACAGATTTCGAACGAGACCTGCAAAAATGTTCTCTAGGTTATCCAAATCAACACAATTAATATGTATGCTGCAGAAACATTTTTCGACTACTTCTAAGGTATTAACTAATCTATAAAGATCTAGATCTAGGTAAAACTCCATTTTAGCGTATTTTATTCCCCGCTTCACGTTCACCTCCATTTGAGCGTATTTTAAATTTTATTATAGAGTCTAGGTCTAGATCTAGATATTATAGTCTGGCGCGTTGCTTAGATGGCTGGATTGACCTCTGACCCTGAAACGTCACGCGTCGTTTTTAGACGGTTTTTACGTTTATTTTAGGGGTCCCATCCACGACAAACGAAAAAACTGTTAATCTCGCAAATTCTCATCATTATTTTAATGCAGAATGCTAATAAAATGGATAATATGCCTTAGAATGCCAGAAAAAATCGAGAGATTTGTTGTTGTAAATAATGAGAGGATTTCTAGTGGAGCGCTCTCCGTAAAAACTGAACCGCCGCTAAAATCGACCGACCTCCGGGGAAAACGGCCCGACCTCCTCTAAATTAATATATAATTGAGATATTTACCTTGTATATTTACATTATTATTGATTCTGGTTTCCAAAATCTTATCCCAAAATGAGGTACCCACGCTGACATTTCTATCCGCTATTTTTAGTATCATGACGTCATTGCTACGCTAGTTGCCAGACTGAAACAACTAGTTTTTGTTTTTTACGGAATGAACTGTTAAGTCTAGTATTTTAATTATAATTCAATTGTAGCATGTGTGGAAAAAGTAAAATTATGGACATTATTGTTGTATTAGTAATTGTATTAGTATATTGATTTTTTCTTCACTGTGGGCCGACAGTTGCTGCATTCGTGACCGGTGGTTAACCTCGTCAAAGCTGCGTGGCCTATTCGTTTATATAATCAGTGATGCTCGTTCAGTGGCCTTTTTCAGAGCTAGGCCTAATTACGGGCGATTTTTAGACTTAATTGATCGGCCGTTAGCCCTTTTCATTGCTGCGTATTTTTAAAAAAATGCTCGTTCAGCTGCCTTTTTTTTTTTTTTTGGCGCTAAATAATCTGTTTATGGGCATTTTAAGCGTTTATTTATGTATTTTTTTAAGCTAGACGTAGATCTAGTTAAATTTTTTTTTTTATACAGCTGGCTGTCTAGCATGCCTGATATGTGAACTTTAAAAAAAAATGACCGAACTTTAAAAAAAAAAATGACCAGAAGTAGGGAAGTAGGTCTGTTATTCAATTTGCTTGAAGAAGGGGGGGGGGGGAGAGAGAGAGAAGTGAAGACACCGACCATCTCGTGTACGCGTGTTCATTCTATGACGTGTACTATAGGTCACGGTGACCCCGCGACCGTGGTGGGATTTTTCATAAGCAAGCAATCACGTGAGTGACGATGTTTGGAGATTTTATTTTTAAAAAAAAAATCACATACGTCATGTTTTCAAGATGAAAAAAAATGTAATGTAAAAAAAAAGGGGACACTAAAACCATGTATGAACCTCAGCTGCCACACTGTTGACTCAATATAATGTGATTGAGTGTAAAATGTATTTGTATTTATAAACTATCTTAGCAATTACTATCATATTATTTTATGCATATTTATTATTTGAAATAAAAATATTTATTATGGTCATTTGATTTATGCAGGTGTTCATTACTTCATAAAATGGTATGAATAACATGTAGAGTAGAATTTAATAAATAATAAAATAACTAGATCTAGTTTTATTATCAACCAGTTGCTTTTTGTTATTTTCCGGTGAGTAAATAACCTAAGCTGACGCAATTACCATGGCGGGAATTAAAAGCTCGTGGACACAAGTCCACGACGTAATGTTATGCCGGTCGAGGGGATAAAACGCGGTTTTGTCTTTCATTTTCCAATATCGGAAAAATTTCAAATTCTCTTTTTTCTCGTCAACCGAGTAAGCTAGATATTTAAATGTGGTGTCAAATGTTCTCTTAAGGGGTAAGGAAGTTAATGGTGTATTTGAAATAACAGAATATTTTATTTTAAAAAATCCATAATTCAACCTACTAGATAATCTAAATCTAGATCTAGTCCTAAACTCATACCGAAACACACAAAAACGTTAGGAAAACATTGGGACTTATTGCATAATGAAATGAAGTTTTGATTTAGAGTAAAGTTCCACGCGCGGTTCAAACACCGGTACGGCCATCGCCTGTTTATCGCTTCGTACAATATTTGTTTGGATGTTTTATAGGAAACTACCGATATCTGCTGTAAACCTGTCCATTTCTAAATAGAATCTATAGGGCCTATCCAGTAGGCTTTTTGATGAGAATTACAGAATGATTTTTTTATTAAAAATGTATTAATAATAGCTAGAATACTAGTAAACTAAGCTAATTTAGCATATTTTAACTTTCTGTGCAAAGTCATTATTACTGAAAAAAATTCCAAAGTCAGGTCAGCCTGTGGCACCCTCCACTGAACTTGAAAGAAGGGAAAAAAAACTTGACCCGTGACCTTCATTAAAACAGAATTTACTTATGTTTCTTTTTAACTATTAGTAAACATGTGCTTAATATTACCCAATAAGTAATAAAAATTTGACAATTAATTTTAATTACTGTTGTAAAGTGAGATAAACAGCTTAATAAACACGTGTTTTCTTGAGGGGGTGTGACCCGGGTGTGGCACATCGCATGTAACTTTTTATTTCTGTGTTTTATGACTATTTGTTCACAATCAGCATGCTATGCTTTTAAAATTGATAAAGGGTAAGTATACCAAGCTACAAAACCTAAAATCTAACTAATAATTCATACTTTCAGTTTAAAAAATAATAAAAACGATCATCAATGAAGAAAGCGTAAACATTCTATTTTTAGGTGTGACATAAAAAAACAGTCATAAACCTAGCCAAATGATTGGATTCTTGCGCGGCACACATTTTCCCGCGCCTCGTGTTCACCAAAAAAGATTATAATAAAATGGCATTATTACTTGAACGGACCACATCTCATTCCGACCATAGATTATTACCAGTTAATTGTAATGTGTGTAAAATTGATACTTTCAAGTTTCATATACACATAGTTTGGTTAATTATACACGGGGTATTTTAGAGTTATTTGATTCGAAAGATGAGAATTATATAGAGCTACTTTCACTAAGGCGCCGCTTGCGAGACAAACAAAGAAATTAGGCCAAAAGTAGATCCGACAATTCTTAATTAATAGACTTAAATAGAAACGAATAGTTCCGATTTCTAAAATTAACGATGGCTTCGTAATCATTAGTTTTATCCCTCTACCCATTAGTGAAAGCGAAAATGGTCGCCATTTTTGGTAAGCGCATGAGCCGTGAGATGGCTTCAAAACAACAAACCCGGAAGCTGTGAATCGAACAGCCTACTATCCAGGTCAAATTCTTTTGTTTTTCTCCTTCAGGAAGTCGAGTTTTTAAATTTTAAGTTTTGAGGTATGACGTCGTAGGCGATTCTAGTTCCCCCTATGAAAAACACTAGGTCCCGGATGAGATGAATAAAACCAACCAATCAAAGCTTTTTATGACTAGGTTTACTATAAATAGCTTCTACAATATGTGCGGGACACTGTATATACGATAGATAATAGTCTGGCGCATTGCTTAGATGGCAGGATTGACCTCTGACCCTGAAACGTCATGCATCGTTTTCTGACGGTTTTTCCGTTTATTTTAGGGGTCCCATCCACGACAAATGAAAAAACTGTTTATATCGCAAATTCTCATCATCATTTTAATGCAAATTGCTAATAAAATGGATAATATGCCTTAGAATGCCAGAAAAAATCGCAAGATTCGTGGTTGTAAATAATGAGAGGATTTCTAGTGGAGCACTCTCCGTAAAAACTGAACCGCCGCCAAAAACGACCGACTAACGGGGAAAACGGCTCGACTAACTGTACATTAATATATAATTGATATATTTATCATGTATATTTACAGTATTTTTGATTACTTTTTCTAAAATCTTCCTCGAGGATGAGGTACCCACGCTGACATTTCTATCCGCTATTTTAAGTATCATGACGTCATTGTTACGCTAGTTGCCAGACTGAAACAACTAGTTTTTGTTTTTTACGGAATGAACTGTTAAGTCTAGTATTTTAATTATAAATCAATTGTAGCATGTGTGGAAAAAGTAAAATTATAGACATTATTATTGTATTAGTAATTTTATTAGTATATTGATTTTTTCTTCACTGTGGGCCGACCGTTGCTGCATTCGTGACCGGTGGTTGACCTCGTCAACGTTGCGTGGCCTATTCGTTTATATAATCAGTGTTGCTCGTTCAGTGGCCTTTTTCAGAGCTAGACCTAATTACGGGCGATTTTTAGACTTAATTGATTGGCCGTTAGCCTTTTTCATTGCTGCGTATTGTAAAAAATGCTCGTTCAGCGGCCTTTTTTTTGGCGCTAAATAATCTGTTTACGGGCATTTTAAGCGTTTATTTATTTTTTTAAGCTAGACGTAGATCTAGTTTAAAAAATATTTTTTTTTATACAGCTGGCTGTCTAGCATGCCTGATATCCGAACTTAAAAAAAAAAATGACCGAACTAAAAAAAAATGACCAGAAGTAGGGAAGTAGGTCTCTTTTTCAATTTGCTTGAAGAAGATGGGGGGGGGGGGGGGAGAGAGAGAAGTGAAGACACCGACCATCTCGTGTACGCGTGTTCATTCTGTGACGTGTACTGTAGGCCTGCTGAAGTCACGGTGACCCCGCGACCGTGGTGGGATTTTTCATCCACATGATAGTAAACATAAGCAAGCAATCACGCGAGTGACGATGTTTGGAGATTTTATTTTTAAAAAAATCACATACGTCATGTTTTCAAGATGAAAAAAATGTAATGTAAAAAAAAAAAGACACTAATACCATGTATGAACCTCAGCTGCCACACTGTTGACTCAATATAATGATATTATAATGTGATTGAGTGTAAAATGTATTTGCATTTATAAACTATCTTAACTATTATTATCATATTATTTTATGCATATTTATTATTTAAAATTAGAATTTGAAATAAAAATATTTATTATGGTCGTTTGATTTATGTAG